TCTGGGCCAAACACTGTCCTAAACCCTTTCTGCCTGACAGTTTGGCTCAGTGGCTAGAGCATCGGCCTGTGGACTGAAGAGTCCCAAGTTCGATTCCAGTCAAGGGCATGTACCTTGGTTGCGGGCACATCCCAGCAGGGGGTGTGCAGGAGGCAGCTGATGGATGTTTCTCTCTCATGGATGTTTCTAACTCTCTATCCCTCTCCCTTCCTCTCTGTAAAAAAATCAATAAAATATATTTAAAAATAAATAAATAAATAAAAATAAAATAAAAAAACAAACCCTTTTCTCAGATTATATAGTTTACTCTTTGCAATGATACTATAAAAACTATTAATATTACCATCTTATAGCTGAGCAAACTGAAGCTTAAAGAATTTAAACAACTTGTTCAAGGTCCAAATAGGTGGAAGATTCAAGAATCAAAGCCAGTTGGACTCTAGAGCGCAGTTTTATCATAACAACCTTGTTCACAGAAAAAAAGAACAAAATAAAATAGCAAGTATAAAATATATGCTATGCAAATAACATTATTAATAATTATTTTTTAACCAAATTAGTGGATAGCCTTTAACAAGTCACTTCTCGGGGCCTCATTTTCCTCATCTATAAAATAAGGGGGTTGTACTACATTTCATTTAGAAAAGATTTACTAAGCATCTTCTCTGTGTGAGATCCCATGTTAAATAATGGACACTCAAGGTAATTAGGAATCTGTTATAAGGAATTCAGTCAAGGAATGCACAAAAAGTACATAAATTATTATAATGGTGTATATATGTTATAGTGATTCATACCAAATATTTATACCAAGATGATATTCACTTTGGGTAAATTTTTTAATTGATTTTAGAGGAAGGGAGGGAGAGAGAGAGAAACATCGATTTATACATTCATTGGCTGATGCTTGTATGTACCCTGACCAGGGATTGAACCCGTTACCTTGCATATCAGGATAAGCTACCTGGTCAGGGCTTATCTTTGGGTAAAGTTTGAAGACTAAATATCACTTTGTCAGGGGTAAGGTGAAAGCTGGAAAAACATGTCAGAGAAGACATGGAGGCATAGAACAGCAGAGTATTTGGAATGACCGGAAAGTAAAGCAGCACTACTGGAACACAGTGTCCAAGGGATGGCACAGCTGGAATTGAGAGTCAAGAGAAGGTGAAAGGTAGAGGGGGCCTATACTCAAATCTAGAATACTCAGATTTTAGGAACAACTCAAACATTTTAAGTAGAAAAATGGTTATAATTCTATTTTTAGAAAGACCAATTATGTGACAGTGTAAAGGAACTAGGATGGTGTTTGATGAGAGTGAGATGAACAAGAGATTATTAATAATGTTAATCATGAGAGATGAAAAATTAAACTAGACAGAACATGGTGCCTGAATGGACTGGGAGAAAGGACTGAGGAAAAAGGTAGGTAAACTGGTGCTGGAAGCTACCCATTGTCTCCAGTGGTCGGCAAACTCCTTAGTCAACAGAGCCAAATATCAACAGTACTTCTTCAAAATAGACTCGTGTGGGGAGCTGATATAGGGTTAAGCCTCGGACTGACCTGTGGGCAAAGTCACAAACAAGTCCCAGCTTAGAGGGCACAGTCCTCTTAAGCATAATTAGGCTTGACCTTATGAAGCTCCCTAGATCTCACTCGGGAAGCTAATGGGCTGAGGGAAGTGCAACAAGAACAAAAACAAGTGAAACTCACAAGAACAGTGTAAACAAGTGAAACTTATAAGAACTGTGTAACTATGGAAACCACTACCTTGTTTACCTCTCACTATAAAATAAAGGCTCAGCTTGCCTCGGGATCTTTTTCTGTGGCCTCAGCCAGGCACAGGGAAGATCCACGGAGACTAAGGAAAGCTAGAGAGTTCTGAACGCTGTCTCTGTGTAAAACATTCTTCGCCGACTCCGTCCACACCTTTGGGACCCCCTGAACCCCCTGGGGCTGGACCCCAGCAGACTCGCCCAGGCTGAAAACCGACTTCTGCGCATGGGCCACGAAGTTTCAATCGCACTGTGCGTGTGCCCGCACGTGGTATTTTGTGAAAGAGCCACACTCAAGGGGCCAAAGAGCCGCAGTTTGCCGACCACTGGCTACACTATCACGCAAGTGCAGCAGGGAACACAGAAGGCTGATAAC